CTATTAAATGCTTTCTCTGGTTAGATTCCACATATAAGGGAAATTATACAATTTTTGTCTTTCTTTGGCTTTACTTAGCATGGTGTCTTCTAGGTTCATTCATGTTGTTGCAAGTGAAAGGATTTCTTTTTTTTCTTTCATGTATTATTATTATTATTATTATTATTATTATTATTATTATTTGTACTGGGAATTGAACCCAGTGGCGCTTAACTACTGAGCCACATTCCCAGCCCTTTTTAATATTTTTTATTTAGAGACAAGTTCTTGCTGAGTTGTGTAGGGTCTTTGCTAAGTTGCCAAGTTTGGCTTTGAATTTGCGATTCTCCTGCCTTAGACTCCTGAGCCATTGGGATGGATTACAGGGGTGTGTCACAGCTTCTAGCTTGCTTCTTTTTAAAAGCTAAACATTCTAGGGCTGGGGATGTGCCTCAAGCAGTAGCGCGCCCACCTGGCATGCGTGGGGCTCTGAGTTCAATCCTCAGCACCACATAAAAATAAAATAAAGATGTTGTGTCCACTGAAAACTAAAAACTAAATATTAAAAACTAAAATAAAAAATAAAAGCTAAACATTCTATTTTATATATGCAAATATGCTACATTTTATTTACCTGTTCATCTGTCAAGGGACATACTTTGGCTATTTTGAGTATTGCTAAAATGAACATAGAAGTACAGCTTTCTCTTTTTTAAAAAAATTATTTATTCTAATTTGTTATACATATTGGCAGAATGCAATTCATTTCATACTACACATATAGAACACAACTTTTCAACTCACTGTACACAAAGTATTTTCATACCATTCATGTCTTCATACATGTACTTAGGGTAATGATGTCTAACTCATTCCACCATCATTTCTACCCCCTTGCCCCCTCCTATCCCCTCCCTCCCCTTTGCCCTATCTAAAGTTCTGCAGCTTTCTCTTTCAGGTAGTGATTTTACTTCCTTGGTAAAAGAAGGGGTTTGCTGGAACATACATTAGTTGACCATATATGCATGGGTTTACTTCTGGGCTTTCTAACTCTTTCCATTAGCCCAAGTTTCTATCTTTATACCATCACCACACTGTTTTGATTGGTATAGCTTTGTAAAATAATTTGAAATCAGGAAGTGTGATGCCTCTGGTTTTGTTCTTGTTCAAAATTACTTTGGTGGGTGGGTACATTTGGGGTTGAGGCCACAGGTCCCAGAAGGTCACAACTTTCCTACTCTTCAGCTGGCAGAGGTGGAGAGATCAGGCTTGCAGGGGCTTTAGCCTCTGATGTCTAGAAATGGCGATGAGGGTCAGGATGGAGGGCATTTCCTTGGACATTATCCAATTGAAGATGATCTACTTCTTCATGTCTATCTTCTACTACATCACTCGTTACAAGCTCATTTTAGACACAGATTCCTTTCTCTTTTAATAGTCATCATAGCAAATCTCTTGTTTATCTATGCTGTGTTTGTTGTCTAGCAATTTTTTTGTTTTTAGAATTTTTGACCTGTGTGCTTTGTTTTTACTCTAATTAAATGAGGACAAGTGCCTAGGAACTATACCAACCCATTTAAAGTTCAGTCATAATCCTGGGAAAAGTTATTTTGCGGATTTCACATTTACTTCTTGAATGCAACATTCAGTATCATCACCATAAGGTCTTAAAAGACTTGTCCTAATGGTGTATTCAACCAGCAACACAATAATTCTCCTCATACTGTACATGCAGCATTCTTTTCCTGAGCCTCATAAGTTGTACTTTGACCTCAGTCAGGCCCTGGAACTAAGCTCTGTTCCCTGACCTGTCTGCTCATTTGTGCAGTGAAAATGAGAAAATTTAAGGAAGTCAAACAAGAGCTGATGTACTTGAAGAAGGAAAAAAAACTATCCTTACCACAGCAACATTACTTTGGAAACTGGTTTCAGGATTATTTCAAGCCTAGAAGAAATTGTTGAAAAGCAAGGAGATATAGTAGTGTACCTGAAGCAATACAATGCAGAGTTGTGTTAGTGATGAGTGGCGCTCATGTTCTCAGACCTGTCCTCTTAGCCAAATAGAACATGAGAGTCTCACAGTCATGACAATTTTTCTTTAATTTTTAAATTTGTTCTAATTAGGGCTGGGATCGTGGCCCAGTGGTAGAGTGCGCGCCTAACATGCATGAAGCACTGGGTTCGATCCTCACCATCACATAAAAATAAAGATATTGTGTTCACCTAAAACCAAAAAAACAAAAATTTGTTCTTATTAGTTATACATGACAATAAAATGTACTTTGATTCATTGTGCACAAATGGAGCACAACTTTTCATTTCTCTGGTTGTACCCAATGTAGCATCATACCATTTGTGCAATCATACATGTACCTAGGGTAATGATGATTGTCTCATTCCACCATCTTTCCTACCCCCAATCCCCCTTCCCTTCCCTCACACCCCTCTGTCCAATCCAAAGTTCCTCTATTTGTCCCCTGTCCCCACCACTCAAGTGTGGATCAGCATCCACATATCAGAGAAAACGTTTGGCCTTTGTTTTCTTTTTTGGAATTGGCTTGTTTCGCTTGGCATGATGTTCTCCAACTCCATCCTTTTACCTGCAAATGCCATAATTTTATTCTCTTTTAATGTTGGGGAATATTCCATTGTGTATATATACTATAGTTTCTTTGTCCATTCATCTATTGAAGGGCATCTAGGTTGGTTCCACAGTTTAGCTATTGTGAATTGTGCTGCTATAAATATTGATGTGGCTGTGTTCCTATAGTATGCTGTTTTTTAAGTCATTTGGGTGTAGACCAAGGAGTGGGATCACTTGGTCAAACGGTGGTTCCATTCCAAGTTTAGGCATGACAAGTTTTGAAGGGTCCAGAAAAACCTCAGACTGGTTGATTGTCTGCCTGACACTCTGCTCCAGGGAACTTCAGCTCTTGCTGAATAACATACTATAGTGCATTTTGGTAACCTGAATTTGGGTCTCACTTGTGTGGCTGTTTAACAGATGAAGCTTGTGGATAATTTGAAAGATGCTTGGTAGAAGCCTTGATAACTTCATAAGAATGTCTGTTTTGTACATTTTGAAATAATTTAATTTCTTGCCCAGTGTGGTGGCAGATGCCTCTAATCCCAGTGGCTCAGGAGGCTGACGCAGGAGGATTGTACTTTCAAAACTAGCCTCAGCAACTTAGAGTGAACCCAAGCAACTTAGAGAGAACCTGTCTCAAAAAAAATAAATAAAAATAAATAAATAAATAATATAAATAAATAAAAATAAAATAAAATTTAAAAAAATAAACAAATAAATAAATAAATAGAACTGGGGATGTGGCTCGGTGGTTAAGGGCCCCTGAGTTCAATCCCCGGTACAAAAAAAAAAAAAAAAGAATTTAGCTGGGCCCGGTGGTGCACGTTTGTGATCCCAATAGCATGGCTTCGGAGGCTGAGGCAGGAGGATTGTGAGTTCAAAGCCAGCCTCCTCAGCAAAAGTGAGATGCTAAGCAACTCAGTGAAATCCTGTCTCTAAATAAAATACAAAATAGGGCAGGGATGTAGCTCAGTGGTTAAGAACCTCTAGATTCAATTACTGGCAGAAAACAATAACAACAACAACAACAAAAACATTACAAAGGAAAATTAGGAAATCCATTTGTAATATAGATTTTTAAGAATACTTTTTAATGCAAGGCAAGAAACTCACAAGTTCCTTTACAAAACAAACACCTTTGACTACATAAAAGGTAAATATTGTATATGGCAAAAAATAAACATTTTATGGTGAGGTAATTAGCAATCTAGTGTTCACAAAACACATTTGATAACAGGCACTGTTAGCCCAAAAGAACAGGACAGGACGCAAACTTTACGGATCAGCACAGTTTTTTTTTTTTTTTTTTTCCAGGAATGGAGTGACCCTTTTCCTGGTGGAAAATGGGCAGCCAGCCGAAGCAGGAGTCTATACTTCTATTTATATCGAGGGATGAATTAATGACAGAGCTCCTCACTCAGGAATTTGAGATTTTATTTTTATTGGGCAATGAAGGATCTGGGGTCAGTGGCCAGCATCTGGAAAGGATTTATTTCGGAAGAAATCAATGCTTAAGTCTTTTTCGAGAGACTGTCAGTCTAGGTTTGATGGAGAACTTCTCCCCAGGGCTTGTTTTGTCACCAAGAAAGAATGATTGGGTAAGGATCAATATTATTAATGTATGGCTTTCTTTTTCACTCCTTTTCCCGAGTCCACACTATTTGGAGGTTTCACATTTTCCATATCTAATAGGCACTAACAAATCTTTGTAAAATATTTGTAAATTAGAGTTCTAAACAACTCTTTATTCCACAAAAGCCGCTCACTGAAAATCACAGCAAAACTGATGATCAGAAAACTTTTTAGAATCACTTCTGAGTGTTTATCAGCGCTGTTTTACAAAACGCAGTGCGGAAGGCCCCGAATTTAAAGTCAAAAAAATCCGTCAAGTGGAAAGAGTAATGCATATTTGAAGAAGAAAAATTTCAAGCTTTACAAAAAGTGTCAGTACGCTGTAAACTCCAAGCAATCAACTATTAAGAGTTTAGCATGGTGTCCAGATAATAAAAAGAAATAAAGGCTGAAGGACTGGATTAATTGCGTGGAGGAGACCGACCATCTCACTGATTGGCAGGCGTAGAAACACAAAGGAAGTTCTAACTACGTGGATGGAGGCAGCTTTTGTGAGCGGCCTGTGGTTGGGCCCCCCCCCCCCCCACGGTTCCCTCCTCCTCATTCCGTGCGTCTGGCAGGTCCAACCTCCAACTCCGCCCTGGGAATGCACCTCGCCCAGAATCCTGATTCTAACCACCAGCCGCGGCCTCGCCTGTTCTGGTCCCCAGCGTTAGGCTCAGAATTGACCTTAAGGGCTCTCCGCCCCCATGGGAAGAAGCTAGAATTTCTACGTTTCTCTGCCGCAGAGGGTCCTACGTGGCTGTGGTTCGACGCCGAACTCGGGGACTTCCGGGCCAGAACTTGGAAGCGGAAGTGATGTGAGATGTCTCTCCGTCTTTTCCGGTCTAGCTCTGCGCGGCCAAGTTCTTTTCTCCTTGGTGGTGGTGCACTTAACGGGGCCTTGGCGAGGTGGAGTAAGGGGACAGTCAGCCGCTGGAAGGGTCCAGGGAATGTTCGAGTTTATTCCGGGCCGTCGGGGAGCCTCTCAGAGAGGGCCGGCCCTTCCCGATCGCGTCCGCCGGGGTCGCGGGTCCTCCGGTTGCGGCCGGGTCTTACAGGCCGGTGGCCGTGGTTCGGAGGGTCCCGCCAGGGGCCGTTTCGACATAATTCTGAAGGGCGCGTCCTCGTTTCGAACATTGTGCGCTTTTCCTCAAAAGCCTTTAAAGTAATCTTTTGAAAAAAAAAATTTTTTTTTCCAGAAGGAAAAGAACTTCCGCTGTCGAGGGCAGCATAACATCCCCCTTCCGCGCGGACCTGGCGACCCCGGCGCGTTCCAGTGAGTGCTTGGTGTAAGTTGTCTCCACAGGACTTCTTTTGTCTTTCAATTGGGCTTTGTCTTTGTGTGGAGTATATTTTTGACACATTTAGGCAGGAAGATAAAGCTTCTTTTAAAGACCTCTAGGGTGCACCTGTTCTATAGGTAGCGGACCACAAACCATTTTGCCAAAGGACGGAAAGGATCTGTAGCCCATTCTCTTCATTTGAACTTTCTGCTCTGGGCTTCCCCACGGAGCTTCAAAACGGATCTGTAGGAAGGACGAGGTTTTATTGCACTAAAGTACTATCATATTTGAACTTATTTGCTTTCTTCCAGAAAATAGGAAGCAGGAGACAATGGATTAACTGATTAAGTCTCTAGAGAGAGAGAGAAAAGAGAATTGACAAAGACTTAACTCCAGTTTTGGCACCAAAGTAATTTTCTACATTTGGGAAAATTAATATACAACTCAGTATATAACTGACAAGAAAACTGGTACCTATTGAAATGGTGTAATTTGAGATGAAATAAAGCATGACTTTTTTATAAGTAGGAAATTAATTCAAGGAATTCGCATCGGTGATACCATTGAGAAAAAAGTTCACTATGAAAATTCACTTGTTAATTATTTATATTTGGAAAGTCTGTGTCTATAAACAGTCAAAAGTCTCTTGAGTGTTTTTTAGTCAACCTTGGTGTTCTTACTCCTATCCAAACTTGTCCTTCATTTTCCTGATTGAATGTCTAGAGTTAATCACTCTTAATGTGACTCCTTAGAGACATTCACACTCCATAGGTAAGTGACCAGAAAACTCCCCTGCCAGTGTTGGTTGCCAGTAAGCACTGAAGGAGTTTTATGACTTTGCAATATCCGTGTTTTGTTTTCTTTAGAAAAATTTTTATTGGTGCATAATAATTATACAGAATAATGGGTTCCATTGTGGTGTATTTCATATATGAATGTGACATAATTTGGTTCATTTCACTTCCAATACCTCCTTAATGTCCCCTCCATCCCTCTAATAACCATGATTTCATTTAGCCACAAAGGGGTCCCAGTGAGCTAAGTGGACATAGTTAAATAATTAATGAGGATTCTGAAGATAAGTTGGTGAGGGTATGCATGTTTATTGGAAAAGGACTTTCAAAAACTGTTAGGACTATATGCTAACTTTGTATGTACGCATGCTCTGTCACACAGGGATGCATGTGCATGCATATCAAGATAAAAATAGTGGCTTTTTATTCTTGTATTTTATGAAACAGCCCTAAATGGAAAAAGGCCAGCAGAATAATGGGTAAATTGTGGTATTCTTATACTATGGAAGACTGTTCCACAAATAGAAAGAACAAACCGAAGGTAGTTGCAAAAATGTGGGTGAATTTTGCAAAGTTTTGAGTGAAAAGAAGCTAGGCAACAAAACAATGTCTGTCTTTCTCCAAGACAGGGATTTAAAGCTCCTTAGATAACACACATGTATTTGTTCTCTATTGCTGCCTGACAATTGAAGAATAATGTGTAATATCTAGGCATATCCAGGAATCCAGGCATGGTGTAGGTAGATCCTCTGTTCAAGATTTTACCTAGCTGCTATCAAGTCATTGGTTGGGTTACAGTTAGCTTAATTGGGAAAGCTTAATCAGGGAAGAATATTTGCATTCTCACTAGTAGGCAAAATTCATTTTCTTAGAACTATAGGACATAGTGGATGCTGTCATCTGGAGGGTGATCTTAGCTTCTAGAGGCTACCTGTGGTTCTTATTACGTGACTCCTCAGGAAAGGCCTATATTCTCTGTGCCAGTTGGTAGAGATCACTGAGGTCATAAGAAGGCATGTCAGCCATAGTATAGTTGTAACCTATTGGGTGGTAAAGTTTGCTGGGTTACTTATGTCCAGAGATGGTTATTACATAGATTAAGCAAGATTAAAACAATGCCAGCGCTATTGGCGTTTTTGTATATTAGGGAATTGGGACACTTCTCCCTTGAACTCACAAGTTTCTTGCCTCAGTGTATTGAGTAGCTGAGATTACAGGTGCATACCTCTGCCCCTGACTGCATAGTTGCTCTCCTTGACATGTGTGGACAGCTGAACTTAAAGTCGCTCATGTGAATTTTCAGGGACACCAAATAAAACAGACACACTTTACCTTAAAACAAGCTTCAGGATAGCTTCTCCACTCTCGGCCTCAGGCTCCCCAAAAGGGAGAGCAACAGTAAGTCACGAGAGGCTGGTGAGAGAGAGCGAGCACGTTCGGAAGTGGGCTTTTATTGCAGGGACTCTTGTTCTTTAGAAAGTTCTATCCAAAAAAAGGCCAGAAGGGGCTGGGTTACAAGGGACAGTTGAGTGTAACTTAACCTCAGGGGGTGACACCTACATCTGAAGGACATGTCTTTTACTTCCTGATCTGGGACAACGCCCAAGTCACCATGAAATGTAGTGATTGGTCAGAGGCTCTTGCTTCAGGACTGGAGAGTCATTCATAGTGGCTTCCCACACAAAGTGTTTTCTTTTGGAGAGCTGTGATACATATCACAGGGAACCCTTCAAATGAGTTTGGTAGGCAGTGGGAGTTTGGATGCCACCTATCTGGTAGTGCCAGGCCCATCATGTGTCTGTCTATGGAGGGTCAAGGGGAATACTACTGGGGCACAAGCTTATTGTGTCTGATGTACAAAATAAGTTGGGTCAACATGCAGCATGCATCCAGAGTTGGGAAACAAGTCATCAACTATGTTAGCATATTTGCAGAGAGTACCTCTGCTAGTGGGATACCTTTGAGCACATGGGCTCCATAGTAGGAGGTCAGTAGGATGTTGGTAACTGGGTCAGGGGTTGATGGTCATCTAAGGAATGTGTTCTGGGCTCATGGCATGGGCATAGCACTTGGACACTGCTGACTACCATGCAGCAGTTATATCCAGAAGGTAAAGTTTCCTTCCTTTTGTGATGTCCATCCATTTACCCCTTACACATTCCTCTTATTTGGTCTTGTGGTATCTCTGGAGAATGGTCATAGTTATAGCCCTGTCTTTACTGGGAGAGTTGGGTTCTTTTGTGTTGGTTAGTTGAGACACAAGGGAGGCAGCACAGTAAACATCTAATATAATAGAAGCATCTTAATTACTGTGAGAGAGGTGTTCCCTGGAGGACTTTTGGGAAGTTTGTAGATGACCATGGTGCTTAGTCAGCCAGAGGGGAGTGAGAGATGATGAGATCTGTGGGTGGGTCTCTGCCTTTTTGTTAAGTTCCTTGGGTTTCTTAAAAAAAGATGGGGTTTTAATGATCAAGGGTATCCAGGGTATCCAGAGCCAAGATGACTGCCTGGCATTTGCCCAGCTGTGTTGCTTCTTGGGTTTAGATTTTAATTAGGACCATCCTGGCTGAGGAATGGAAAGCAACAACTCTCCTTTAAAATGCATATACGATAGTCAGTAGTTCCTTTCCCCCATCCTACCCCCAGGGATTGAACCCATGGGCTCTTTACCACTGAGCTACATCCCTAGCCCTTTTTTATTTTGAGAGAGCTTGTTGCTAAGTTACTGAGGATCTCATTAAGTTGCTCAGACTGAACTTGAATTTGTGGTCCTCCTGCTTCTGCCTCCTGAGTTGTTGGGCTAACGGGCATGTGCTACTGCACCTAGCTAGTAGTGCCCTTTTGTAATGAAGTCTCTGAATTCCAGTTACTTTTCACTCAGTTGATCCCAAGGGGCTTTTCAGATTATCAGTGAGTCTCGAGGAGGAGTCACCTCCTCTAGCACCCTTGCCTCAGGCAAGGGACTGAAGTCAGAGGAAACCCTCTTCTCCTATAGGTGGAGTATACTAGAAGATTTAGTTTTGGTTCTACCCTGTCTTAAGGAGGCCTAAGTAGCAGTATGAAGCTCTGTCCTGTTTCTGTGACCTTTGGGTATTATAGGGTCACAGGCTCAGGATATATTGGAGTCTTTATTTCCAGGAGATACCAGTTGGTGGCCAGTCATTAGTTTTGATGGCAATACCATGAAGCTGAGAGGGGCAATTTCTTGCATTAGAAGCCTTGGAAGAACTAACAGTCTTTATTTCAGATTAAGAAGAAGAAACAATTGTATTGAATGGAAGAGCAATGGAGGTAATCACCCTCTCACAAACTGTGTATTATGCAAATTTTAATCATTGAAGCCCTATTTTTTTAAGATGGACACAATATCTGTATTTATTTATTTTTTAATCTTTTAAAATATATATTTACTTTAGTTGGAAATGGACCTTTATTTTATTTATTTATATGTGGTGCTGAGACTCAAACCCAGGGTCTCACACATGCTAGGCAAGCGCTCGACCACCGAGCCTCAACCCCCTATTTTATTTACTTTTATGTGGTGCTAAGGATCGAACCCAGTCCCTCACATATGTGAGGGATGCACTCTACCACTGACCTATAACCTCAGCCTCCCCTATAACTTAAAACATTGAGTTGTATTAACTATTTTATCTGGGTATCGAGGGGTCTCATTTTATTAATCAAATCTGTGTCAAAGTCTTACTTCTTAGTTTGTGATTATTTCTTGTATTAGAGGGTTTATTCTCAATATGAAACATTTGGTCCTATGACTGGAAAATTTAAGCAAGGCTCAAGTTAAAGTTAGGGATGCCTAATTTTTCCTCCATATTTACTCTAGTTTTAAAGGGTATAATACTTAAAGTTAGTGGGAACCCCAGGTATAACCATAATTTGACCTCTAGATTTAGTAATCCATATAATTATTTTAATTGGTGCACTTTAGCAAATGTTAAACTTAAATGTTTAATTAACCCCCCCGCCCCCATCTTGTGTTTTTTTTCCTTAAATCACTAATCTTCCATTGGTTAGTCCTGGCATTTGGTATTTACTCAGTATTAAATGTTTAAAGTTTTCCCTCTGTTTTTCCTTCCTTTCTGTTTTTTTGACTGGTGCTGCCTAAAGCCCAAGGCTTTTAAAACTTTTTGGTTTTAAGTCTTTGAGCTGTCTGAAATGGTGGTTCTTGGTTTCTGTCTGTTGTTGATAAGAGGA